CATACATTTCAGTTAGTCTCATATATATACTTTTTTGAAACTGACTTTCGAAAAGAAAAAAAAGTGTTTCGTTATACACCTTAATAAACAGCTTTAATAATAGTTCGTCGGTGAATTTTTAAATCAGCGAAAAACGCGCTTTTTCACTTTTCTACTCAAATTTAACAACGAGAATTGCGTGCTTACTTTTCCTCATTTATTTAAACAATAAGCAAAATCATTTCGGTACCCGAATTTCGGATTCAGTGTGGATATTAATATTACAGATGTAACTCTTAAGGCGATGTCTTCGTATTCAGATCTCAAAATGATATAATGAGTTTTAAAACTCCAAATTCCTCTTATGTAAATTTACTACCACAATTATACATTTATCCTGAATTTCAGGCTCAATGTGGCTATTTATATTGCAGATGTAACTTTTCAGGTGATGTATTCGTACTTTAATTGATAAGCTGTAATTCAACCCTATATGATAAAATTAGTTTCAAAAGTTGATGTTCCTTTTAACGTTAATTTACTACCACTATTATAAATTTATATCACCCGTGGGAGCCTCATAAAAACAACTATTGACACTTTTAAAATCTTTTTAAAAAAAAGACTAATTTACTGAAATGTACGAAATAATTTATGATAATCGACGATATCGCATCACTAGTTTCTTTGGATTCATTAGTTTATGTATTTTTTTGTACAAATAAATATAATACAAATAAAAGAAGCGGAATCAAACGTCATTTTCTTAAACAAGCATTTCCAGCTGTGTCAACACCTCCTAGAAAAGAGAAGGCTTTCACACGTATCAATTAAAGAACATAAACTGCGCAATGGGCAAAAATAAGAAAGATCGTCCATACTGCAAAACTGCGCAGTGAGGACATAATAAGAAAGATGGTTCGGTTAAATAGAGGATCTTATTCCTTGTTTATGGTAACCCGCGTGAAGGCTTTCTCTTTTCTGTGTCCAGATTTAAAAAATCACGGAATAGTTCTTAAGTAAAATTATGATTTCAAACTGAAATGCCTTTTTATATGACTTCATTTAGTTTATTTTTTATCCGTTAAAACCCTTAAGAACTGCTTTTCTAGACAAAAGCAATTCCAAATAAAATTATTTTTGAAAAACATTTATAAAAGAGGTAATCCGACACTCAGACTATGATGAAAGATACTTTGTCTAGACAAGGATGTATTAACATTGGAGAAAAGAAACTTGTCTAAACATTTTCATTTATATATTTTTCAAGAAAATAGAGACCTTTTGTAATTTTTTTTGTCTCTTTCTCTGATAACATGTCAAAAGTAATTTTTCTGATTTGAAGAAGAAACATTTTGAAAGAATTTTATTTCGTTTGACTATTAATACTTTTATCATCATTATTAGTGAATATCAGTGACGTGAAAATATCAAAGATTCGTTCAAAAATCTGTAGCAAAAAAAAAATAAATAAAGTTCGTGAGTGTAATCAAAAGTTTGTCTAAAATACATAGAGAAATTCAAAAAATTTTAGTTGATGAGGCCTCTTAAGACACAGATAAATAGCATAGATACCTATATGACAATAACATACAAATTCAAATATTTTCCATCAAAGCATTTTTCATTATTATTTTCATTAATAATAGAAAAGTTTATCAAACAGGAGCAAAACAAAATAATAGAGATGTAAAAATATTACTCTATTTGCATATTGACATTTATAAAACTAAATATTTTACCTCTTTTTAACGCATTCATTTTTGAGAAAATGAAAAATAATTTAATTTGTAAAACTGTGAAAAAGTAAATATTATAGTGAATGGTTAAGGTGTTTCTCTCATTTTATTTTTATCACATCACATTGCTTATTGTCAACTTACAAAAGTGATAAGTATTATCAATTATTCTTTTATTATTTCTTACACGTATTGATAAAGAGACATTCTTCTGATTATGACTGATTAAATCCAGAGATTTAATCAGCAGTGTAAGACACGGCTGTTTGAAATGATGGATTTGAAAAGTTAATTAATAATAAACAATGAAATAGATATGACTAACACTGTGTCAGTTTAACTCTTTCAAAAACTATTTTTATTCTATTATTAATTTTGCATTTTCTCACATCATACTTTTTTTAAATAAATAATCCTTTAAATTACATTCTGAAACAAAATTAAGAGTAAGAAAAGTTAAATTCAAGAGTATTTCAATATATTTAACTTCAGAAAATGAAGTAGATATAGGATCAGACGAAACATGACGACAGATTTCATCCTCATCCTTTGAGGGACATTAAGAGTCTGTTTGAGCCATGGTTTTTTGGAATTGCAATTTTTTTTGAATTAAATTTATTGGAATTGCAATGTTCTTAATTTTTTTCCAAAAAACAGTTAGATATGTAAAATGGTTTTTCTTCTATTCAGGGTAGGGTTGAAAGTAAGGCGGAAAAGAAAAAAAAACTAGTAGTAAAATAATTTTTCTTTTTGTTATTTACTAAAGGGAGTAAAAAAAACTCTTTTATTTATCACTACTTAGTTTCCCTCTGGTAAAAAAAGGCCCACATGTATGTATATGTTATAACTCTAAAGGAATCTTGATAACCATGGTTATTTTCTTCGAAATAAGTTGTATTAAAATGATTTTTTTTTTTTTTTAGTTTTTCTTCTTGCAATATATAGAGTTTCAGCCCTATTTCTGGGACTCAAACAGCTCTGGAAAAATTTTTAAAAAAAAGAAGAAAAAAAAGCCAAAAATTGAATTAAAGATTTTTACTTAAGTGACATTTTTCAAGAAAGTGCTTCATTACTCCAATGGACAAACGAGATAGTTCTGATTAAAAATATTTATATTTGGATCAAGGACTTTTAATAAAAATGGTAGGAAAAAAATATATATTTGGCACCAATTTTTTTTTTTAAAATCAAACAAACAAAACTTTATTGACAACAAAAACAAACACATAAATACAAAGAATATATATTCGTCGCCAAGAGAAAAATCCTGTCCAGGCGACAAAGAAAGGTAATACAATAAATATAAAATAGAAATTAAGAAAAAAAATACATGAAACTATATGGAAAAAAAATAACAAAGGTGACAAAAGAAATTCATTTGGATTGGCACAAGACTGGTGTAAACAATCAAATGCTTCCTTTGAAGTGAAAATAGAGATCTAAATCGTCAATGTTCATCACAAATTGAAATAAAGCACGCTTAAAAGAAGAATATATCTGGATATTTTGCAACTGGAATGGTAATTTATTATATAATTTAGGTGCTAAGTAAAAAAACTGTTTTCGTGAAATTTCTTTTGTAAAGTGGGGAATCTCATACATTTCAGTTAGTCTCCTTTCAGACACATTAGTTTTTAATTTGCATATTAATTTATTGTTGTGAAAATAAAGTAAAATACGAAAAAATAAATTATGGCGAAATGGTAATAGATTAATTCTTGTATATATATTGGTAGAATTATTTATATTTAGAGAATTAATAATCTTGAAGCATTTATTCTGAACTGAGATTAAAGGAAGTAAATTAGTTTTATATTCACCGCCATGTATTATTGCACCATAATTAATTAAGGAATAAAACCAGGAGTAATAGAGTACTTTCACGAAATTAAAATGAATTTTATTCTTAAGGTGATAAAATTTAACTAAAACAAAACGCAATTTTTTAACTAAATTGTTAATATGTGTTCTCCATTTCAAATTAGAATCAATATATAGTCTTATATATTTGATATTATTTACAGATTGTTGAATGTAGCATTGACAATTTTCTTTAGTACTTTTAGAGGAGACAGAGAGTGAAATTTTAAATTTAAGTTAAATT